CCTCCCCTCTAGAACCCTCAGTTTGTTTTTCAGAGTCCATCGTCTCTAATGGTTCGTCTCCCCCCTCCGACTTACTCCCCTTCATTCTTCCCCCCTGCTATCTTCTTTTTTTTTTTTCTTAACATATATTGGCATTATTTCAGAGGTACAGGTCTGTGATTCAACAGTCTTGCACAATTCACAGCGCTCACCATAGCACATACCCTCCCCGATGTCTATCACCCAGCCACCCCATCCCTCCCACCCCCCACCACTCCAGCAACCCTCAGTTTGTTTCCTGAGGTTAAAAATTCCTCATATCAGTGAGGTCATATGATACATGTCTTTCTCTGATTGACTTATTTCACAATGTCCTCTATTGTGGACATTGAAAGCATCAGTCTTGAAGGTGGTTGCAGTGCGGAGAGATTGGGGGGGGTGGGAACAGGTCTTGGCCCCAATTCTGGAGGGATGGGAGGCATGACAAGAGCAGGGATGTATCCGAATTCTGGGGGCAGGGGTTGCAGTAAACCCACAGCCAAGAGCCGAGGAGGTGGTCTCCTGCGCGTGATTTACTGCCTGAGGCCATTGATCTCTGAGTGAGTTCTTCAGGCCGAGGAAGGTAGGCTGGGTGGGATGGACCTACAGTGCGGGGCGTGCAGCCTGTCGTTAGCACCAGGTTCAGATCGTCTTGGCCTGGTGGCTGGTTGGCCTAATGGCCATCTGACACGCACAGTAGGCTGCTTTGTCCCAACAGCTGCCATCACCTCGCTGATCGAATGTCTGTGATGTTCCAGAAATCCCACATGACCCCCAACACCCACATCTACAGCACCCTCATCAACGCGGCCGTCAAGAAGCTGGACTACACCTATCTCATTGACATCCTGAAGCACATGAGGCGCAACAGCGTCCCGGTGAATGAGGTGGTCATCCGCCAGCTGGAGTTTGCAGCCCAGTACCCGCCCTCCTTTGATCGGGTGTGTGCGCCAACCTCTCACTCGCCTGTCCTTTCTTTAACCATCCCGCCTCCCCCCACCCCAACCCTGGGTCTGGCCTTCCAGAACTGGAATTCCCTTGCTTTAAACTGTCAGTAGCTTCCCTTAGGAGAAATCCCAAATTCCTTAAACCACAGCCCATGAGTCCCTGTGGCCCACTTCATCTCTGGCCGTTCTTCCCTGGATTCAGTCAGTCCCACTGGCCTTCTGCCTCCTTCCTTTCTCGGGGGTTTTGTATTCCCTCTGCCTTGAGTAGGCTCCCCCTGTGCTTCCCATAACTGGCTCCTCACCCTGTTGGTCTCAGCTCGGACAGCTCCTTCTCAGGGATGCCCTGCTGCTCCCTCCTGCCCACCACGTCCAGCCCCGTTGCTTGTCACTGTGTTTCACAACCTGTGATTACACCTGCACAAGTCACTGTGGCCTTCACAAAACCGTAAGCCCCGCTCACCTGGTTCCCCGGTACCTGCCCATTGCCTGGTGCCCAGTACAGACTGTTGTCTGTCCAGTGAACGGGGATGGCAGCCGGGCCGCGATAGAATCTGCTTTGTAATGTCTGCTTCTTTCCCTGCCGTACTGAGGATGGCAGGTTGTGGGGGTTCGGATTTAGGGCCCACGGGAGTTAGACCCCATGTTGAGTGCCTCCACAGCAGTTGTGGCCTGGAGGAGCACCATCCCAGTGGGGAGGGGGGAGATGGGCAGGGTCACCTCAGGCATGGGGTCAGGGACCGCTGTGCAGGCACAACACTTGAGGGCCATTTTGAGGGCTCAGTAAGAATCCGGGAGACAGCAGTAGAGCGTATGCCAGGCAGAGGGCATAACTGGGCATTTATGAACAGTTGGCTGTTAGTCTTGTCTTACTGATTCTCCAGAGTTCTTTATGTGTTCTGGATACTCCTCTCTTGTCCCACGTTGCAAGTATCTTCCAGTTAGTGGATTTGTCTCTTTACTCCGCGGTGTAGAGTCCTCAAGGGATCGTCTCAGGTTCAGTCCAGACACCAGACTACCACAGGCCTAGAGCTTCCTGGATTAAATCACATTCCTAGTCTCTTAGGACCGTGATTTATTTCTGTCTGTGTCTGTCAAGATTTGTTTTCTGTGCTTTCAAGCTGGATTAGGTACATACAAGCTTGGAATTGTTAAATCTTTGGAAGCCAGCTATGTGTCATCGTTACCTTCGGTATATTTTTGGCTGTTTTTTTTCCTACGTTATTTCTTTACCAGCTTGCTTTTGGCATCTGCTGGGCGCATCTTGTTTCCTCCCTCTCCTCCCCCTTCTCCAGAGACACTGCAGCAGTGCTGAGAGAACATGGGGGAGGCTCTCAGGCTGTGGGGGCTGAGGTAGCACCCAGGGATTCTAGCTTGGGGGGCGGGGGGGGCCGTCCCTGAGTGTAACACAGCGGCACAGACTTCGAGGGACTGTTAGTAGATGGGAAGTTGGCCTGCCCCACAGAAGCTGTGTCTCTTTTGACAGTAAGCAACTCGAGTATCGAACAGTTTTCCTGCCCTCTTTCCTTAACTACCTAGAAGCAAGAACAGCTTCCCTGAGGCCTGAGCCAGCGGCCATGGTCTGGGATGAGCCGTGTGTAGCACGCAGTGACTAATGGCTCCTCTGACCCCGTGCTTTTCCACTTACAGTACAAAGAGAAAAACACCTACTTGGAGAAGATTGATGGCTTCCGAGCTTATTACAAGCAGTGGCTGAAAGTGATGCCAGCAGAGGAAACCCCCCACCCGTGGCAGAAGTTCCGGACCAAGCACCAGGGGGACCGAGACCCCATCATGGAGGCGGATGTGGACGGAGGCCTCAGAGGCAGGTGATGGGAGGCGCTGGGGGCTGCGAGCGGAGCTGGGACAAAGGGCAGTGTTTACAGAGCTCTGTGGGAGCCCAGGAGCCGCTCCGCATCGGGCCTGTGCATGTGCTCGTGTGGCCTCAAGCCCGAGGAAGGGTCCGGCCCAGAGTGAGGGATGCAGCATTTTGCAGGCATTGGTATGAGGATAAACACTGGATCCAGGGTGCCTGACAAGTTCGTGGCAGGTCCAAGAGCAGCCTGGCCCACCTTGGCACGTCATCTCTGGTCATCCTCGTCTGGGAGGTGGTCGTCCCCATCACGGATGAGGAAAGTGAACTTGCACACAGTCACACAGCACCTACAAGGTGGAGTCAGGATGGAGGCCCAAGGGTGACCGGTTTCTAGGGCCTGGTGCTCGCCCACTGGGGTCCACAGTCCGCTGGCTCTCGGAAAGAATGAATGCAGGACCCAGAAGATTTAAAAATTTTATTCCTACAAATCACAGCTGAGAAACACCAAAGCCTTTACATGTAGAGACCGTGCTCCAACTCAGGCCGGGAGCACTGCTCTGCGAGAAGAGCTGCTCCCAGGAAAGGGGGTGGTGCAACAGGCAGAAACCCACGAAGTCCCAAGTTCAGGGTGAAGACGGGTCAGAGCCTCAGGGCCTCAGCCGGAGCAGCCCCGGCAGCCGCAGTGTGTGCACTCGATGATCCGGCCCTGCAACAGAGGACAGCTGAGACGCTGTGCTCCTGCCATGACCCTCCCCCAGTCCCCCGCAACAAGGGGGGCAACTGGACATTCACTGTCTACATAATACTCCTCAGAAAGTCTTCCGTGACAGATGCAATCAGTGCTGCTGACACTGAAGCTATACCTCTTTGCATTGAATTTATGCACACTGTACATACTTGACCCCCAAAAAGGAAAAAAAGAACCTGTGAATGATTCTTATTGTTCCATGAAGTGAGCATGACCTACCCTGCAGTAAGCTGGAAGTGGGTCTGCTACTGCTCAGGGGGCTCAGGGCCTCTGGGCTGGGGAGCGTTCTAGTGGGGGCACAGGGGCAGAGGATGTGCACCGGAATCTGAGTGGCAGCAGAAGGGTCTTGTCCCTTGGGCCAAGTGTGCCCGGATGTCCGGCTGAGGGCCTGCCCAACAGACACAAGGCCCTAGAGCAGTGGTCTGTGTATACTTTCCTTTACTCTCTTTTTTGGAGGAGTAAGACCCTTACCTAAACGAACAAGATCAGATGGTGAAACTCAACCAAATCAAAAACAGGCCCTACTCTGGCCACAGGGCTGGGGCAGCACCCCCGACCAATACCACCATAGAATATGGGGGGGTGTGGCGGCTTCTGCCCCTCCACCACCTCTCCATGCCATCAGAAAACCGGCACCCAGATTCTTCCCTTAAGGAAGAATTTGATGTCCTTGGGCCCTCATTCGATGTCCACTACCCCCTGACTACAGATGATTCAGGGAGACAGAGCTGCCTGCTGAGCTAAAGCCCTTGGCCCAGAGCTCTATAAACTAGAACTGGTCTGCAACATCAAGAGACCAGTGATGAGGCACCTGTGTGACAGGTGGCCCCCTGGGAGGTGGGCAGTCTGGTCTGCCCGCCCAGCTGGGCCCACCATGGTCAGCCAAGGGGTCGCACTCAAAGGTCACCATAGCCTATGTCCCAGGAACCACCTCCCTCCCTCCGCAGTTCCATTTCAGAGAGGCTGACGCCGTCAGCTCAGCTACTGCATGTGCAGCACCATTCCTGGGTCCTGAGCTGCCCAGTCGAGTTTTAGAACAAAGTTCTGACAGAAGAAATACAACGTAATACAACTGAGGAGAAGGCCTGGAGAAAAGGGTACCTGGGGTGAGCATGCTCCCCTGACTCAGCACACCCCACCGCCTTGGGGGGTCGGTGTTCTCACCCCCACTTCCTACGTGGGGAAGGAATTCAATAACTTGCCCAAGGGTGCAGCTGAGTTGACCCCCAGACCTAACACACGACTGTTGCCACACTGCCCAGCATGGACTGCTCAGGAGAGGGACTCAACTCCCTGGGGCATGGCCAGCAGGATAGTCAGCAAAATCATGTTCGATCCCTTGCAGTCAACTAGGGCGGACTTCCGAACTGAAAAAGTGACCTCAAACTGGATCATCAGACATTATAGGGGTAGAGACGTTACCACTTCCAGCTTGCTTTTGGGGACCCGGCAAATGCAGTTTGTTCCAAAATTGGTGTCCCGTGTCTGAATGCAGCGCAGGCAGCATAAGTTCTCATAGCCCTGCTTTTTCCACTTTGCTATCAGATTTTTATCTGCATAGCCTTCTTTAATACAGTATTCATATAGTTCTGTCAAAAAGAAGGGAAAGGGCATCAGACCATGGTATCACAAAGCTTCCCCAGCCCCGGCCCATCACTACTCTTCACTAGAAAGAGTATTTAGCCAACGCCGACCCCTCCCTGCCCTTTTTTTTTTTTTTTTTACCAATAAGAAAACTCGACACTTGCTTAGGTTGCAAGAACAAGAACCATGAAGTAAATGTGAAAGCTACTCAAGTTGGTGAGGCCAAGAGAATTTAGTTCATTACCTCTGCTTATGGCTTTCCTCTTGTAAAAGAGGTCAAAAATATACCGGGTTTTTTGGTGGTGGATCCTGAAGATAGGCCACAGAGATTCCACTTTCCTCTTTCCCTCATGAGGTTCTGTTTCAGCTGGGGAGAAAAAGGAGTGTCTTTGTTTTCTTGTGGCAGGTAGTGTTCATTGCACAGGATACAGTGGTGGTTTTTTTTTTAATAACCAGGGATAAAGAATAAATCCTACTTCATATCCTCTAGGTTGGCTATCATCAAAAAGACAGTCACAAGTGTTGAGGATGTAGGAAAAGTGGATCACAGGCCGCTGGTGGAAACGTAACATGGTGCAGCCTCTCTGGAGAATTCTTGACTTTAGAGATGGCTCTTCCCCAGGAAGTTAAAGTTACCATACGCCCTAGCGGTTCTCCTGCTGGGTATATAACCCAGGGAACTGAAAACACACGTGTCCACAAAAACTCTCATATGAATGTGCAAGCAGCAGTATTCACAACAGCCAAAAACTAGAAACAATCCTGGTATCCATCAGCTGATGAATAGATAAACAAAACCCACCCACACCATGAAGTGTCATTCGGCCAGAAAAAGAAATGACCTGCTACAACACGGATGAACCTTGAAAACATGCCAAGTGGAAGGAACTAGTCCCCAAAGGCCCCCTACCAGATGACGGTCTACAGAGACAGAAAGTAGACGAGTGGTTGCTCAGACTGGGAGAGCTGGGGAGAAGGAGGTAACTACCAAAGGGTGCAGGGTTTCTTCAGGAGGTAAGGGCTGCCCAACTCCGAATACACTGAACACTGTATAAGGGCAAATTTTACAGAATAGGACTTCAATCTCAGTAGAGCTGTTATTTTAAAAGATAAAAAAATAAGCCACGTGACTTAAACAGGATTGTTTCAAGTGGCAAGTCTCTTTCTGTTAGTTACAAGTTGATCTTTGTCTACCACCTCCACTCAGTTTTTAGAGCAGAGGAGAAAGATAAGGAGTGGTCAAGAAAACTGTACCTCCATTTCTCCAACTTTGGGGCCATGCTATTACTTAGGATGTAGCGTTCAGCTCCACACACAGGATTCTGTAATCCGAGCAAAAGGCAGGTGTTGCGGACTGACCAACTGCACACCGTGCCTGCTGCAGCCGAGGCCCTGCTCTGGGTGCTGAAGGCACAGCAGTGGAGCAGGCAGAGCAGCTCTGGGGCGGCATTCCCGGGGAGGGAGGTGGATCGGCATGTGGGGCTAAGTGGTAAAGGCCACAAAGGAGAAGAGAAAACAGAAGGGGAAGTGGGGACTGACATTTTATACAGGTGATCAAAGGCACAAGGGGACATCTGATCAGAGTCCTCAAGAAACAAAGGGGGTGCTGGGTGAAATGGGGGAAGGGGGTCACAGGTGCAAGCTTCCAGTTATAAATAAATCCTGGGGAATGATGACTACAATTTACAATACTGTATTGTGTATATATAAGTTGCTAAAAGAGTAGACCTTAAAAGGTCTCACAAGAAAAAGAAAAAACTGTGAGGTAATGGATCTTAAATTATTGTCAATCATTTCGTAATATATACATACATCAAATCACATGCAGCCAAAACATACAATGTTTCATGTCAGATCGCACTTAAAAAGGGGGGGGGCAAACATGCTTATAAGGCATCTGGAAGCAGAGCCTCCCTCCCTGTGCTTTTGTCATTTCTCAATCTTTTAAACCAAAGCAGCACTCCCATTTTAAAAAATCCCTTTTGGACCCATTTTCACAAGACCATGTGAATATCCTTGGACGTTGTTTTATACAGGTTCACACATAAAGTGGAACGCGTCTTTCAGTGGGTGGTGTGGAGTCCTGCCACTATGAGTGTAGGAAGAGAGGCCAGAGGTACTGGCGTCACAGCATAGACTAGATCTAGATTTCTGCCACTTGGTGAATGCCAAAAACTTCAAAAGAAACCAAAACCCATTAACTTCAAAACCTCAGCAACAATTCTTTTAAAATATTAATTCTTTAAAAAACTAAATGTCCATTATTGAAGTGTTTATGTTTGATTTTCAACTAGTTTAAAATCCTAACGAAGCAGTTATTTAGGGGTGCTGGGGTGGCTCTGTCGGTTGAGTGTCCCACTCTTGATTTCGGCTCAGGTCATGATCTCAGGGTTGTGAGATGGAGCCATGTATCGGGCTCTGTGTTGGATGTGGAACTTGCTTAAGATTCTCTCTCCCTCGCCCTGACCCCCCAGGCCACACGCGTGCTCTCAAAAAATTAAAAAAAAAAACGATTGAGTAAGGGATCATACTGTGATCCTGTAAGGCCAAGAGATGGTCGTGGCTTCAGATTAGATTTCTAAAAAGACACTACACTGATTAATCAAGTTCAAGATCATATGGCATTTTGAGGGAACTGAACATGGTACATTCTGGAAAACTAGTAGATAATTCAGAAACAAAGTGGTGAAAACCATGTCAGAGACCAGCAAGAAAAATCTGGGTAAAACTTTTAACAGAAAATGTGAACATGAAAAAGGACAGGATTTTCCAAGTAAACATATTTTGTAAGACTCTAAATATGTACCTAACCAAAACAGTAAATAGAGGTAGACTATTCAATCTTTATTCTCTAAGACTTTTATATCAAAGTTGGCCCCAAAATGTCTTTGAGGACCTTTTCATTAGTGCCATCTTATTTTCTAGAACTCCTAATATTCTGAGTTAATAAGCAAATAAAACAGGTCAGTGTCTGGAGGCCACAGTGGTGCTGTCTATTCCCATATGATACCCACATTTCTGCCTGGCCCCTGGAGACATCGAAGCCTGTGACTCTTAGACACAGCTCATCCAGTTAGAGACTCCCCCACTTACTTACCTTCTCTCATCTTTTGATCCAATTCATCCAGTGTTGGTTCGATCAACTCCCAACCATCTGGGGGAGCTTTCCGGCTCCTTTTCACTTTGGGCATTTTTTCTACAAGATAATTTGCAAAGATCTGGAGTGGGGGGGAAATTAAATGGATTGGTTTCTGAACCTGAGCTCCCCAAAGGCCTTTTGGTGCACATTCCCTTCCCTAAATCTGTTTACTCATCTGTAAAATGGGAACACTAGAATCTAGAAGATTTCATTATAATTATATGGAACATGCCTGCATTAAACGTGTTTAGTAGATTTTTTCTGTTATCCTTAACATCATCTATGAGCCTGGCCCTGTACTGGATGTTGGGAACAAAGAACAAACAGTAAGACACAACTTCTGTCATTGGGAAGGTGACATTCTAGCAAGGAAACAGTGAGAAGGTAATTACAATACAGTGTGAGAAGGCCTATGGTTGGGAGAGCTAAGAAAACAAGGGTTTAAAAAGGGAAAAAGATGGTATAGAGCCAAAGTACCTTACCGTCTGCTTCCCAAAAAGTATAACAGAAAGACCTCTGGTCTCTTCAGTTACTGGCTTAGGTTCTTGTCCAACTCTACCAATTACTCTGTGACTTTTGTGAGGTCACCTTTCCCTTCAGGTCCTCAGTCTTGTCTGTAAAACGAGGGCAGCGAGTTAGCTGGATTGCAAAGAGTCTCTGAAACCCAACAAACACATTACATAAAGGCAAGTCATTATAAAGCCTACACAATAAGCCAGTGCAAATCTAAAGAAAACATTTTTCAAACCACATAGCATTTCCTAGCTGGCAAAGAGGATTCAGGTTAATTATCTCCTATTTTTAGCACAGCAGACTCCTCTCCCAAATTCAACCAGTCCCTCCCTTCTGTGGGGTGCCTGACAGTTTACAAAGTACCCCCGCATGGGGCGCACACACACACACATCCCCAGGCTCCTTTTCATGAATTCTCCATTAGTGACCTTACAGGTGAATAACGACACTTCTAGAGGTAAAGTCAGGGTCACAACAGATGAGAGCTGGCAGAGTATGATTTTTTAAAATAATTTTTTATTGTTATGTTAATCACCATACATTATATCATTAGTTTTTGATGTAGTGTTCCATGACTCACTGTTTGTGCATAACACCCAGTGCTCCACGCAGAATGTGCCCTCTTTAATACCCATCACCAGGCTAACCCATCCCCCCACCCCGCTCCTCTCTAGAACCCTGTCTGTTTTTCAGAGTCCATCGTCTAATGGTTCGTCTCCCCCTCCGACTTACTCCCCTTCATTCTTTCCCTCCTGCTCTCTTTTTTTTTCTTAACATATATTGCATTTGTTTCAGAAGTACAGATCTGTGATTCAACAGTCTTGTACAATTCACAGCGCTCACCATAGCACATACCCTCCCCAATGTCTATCACCCAGCCACCCCATCCCTCCCACCCCCCACCACGCCAGCAACCCTCAGTTTGTTTCCTGAGATTAAGAATTCCTCATATCAGTGAGGTCATATGATACATGTCTCTCTGACTGACTTATTTCACTCAGCATAACACCCTCCAGTTCCATCCACGTCGCTGCAAATGGCAAGATCTCATTCCTGCAGAGTATGATTCTGATTGGGAGGCTCCTGACTCCCAAATCTGTGGTCTTTGCACGTGTCTCCCCTGCGCTGAAGCTACAGATGGCCAGAATCTCGACCCTGCCCCAGAGCGCACGGGCCGAGAAGACAAAAATACAGGATGACCACTTTGCTATGACCCAGGGAAATTCGAGAGCCCTGATCCATGTGTTACCCAGGGAGGGTAACAGGTGGGAAGCACCTGGATCAAGAGGTGGCAGCGCTCGGCAGAAGAAACGAGTGGAAAGGGGTTCGGAGCTTGGGAGGGAAAACCTGAGGGTCGGGATAGTAGGAAAGGCTCCTAGAGACCACGGTATCTGAACCGGGCTTACAAGAACAAATAGTATTTAGACAGAAAACGTTCTCGGCGGAGAAAAGAGCGGGATGAGGGGGAGCCTAGAAACAAGAAAATCCCCAAATCTCCTATTCTCTGGGCAGAACGAACGAAGCGCCACCTCCTCTCGGGAACTCACTCTGACCTCCCGCTCCAGAGGCCCGAACCCACCCCTGGCCAGCCGCTCCGATCGCTTCTGAGCCAGTGTAGACCTCCGATTCCTGGCCCTAGCCGTTACCAAGGTACTGGAGAATACAGAAAAGGGCTCACCCGAAAACCCGTCACCGTCAGCCGCCAATTCTCTCCCGACGGCTTCCGCTTCCCAGGTGATAAGCTTCAGGCTGAGGTCCTCGCGGGGCCCCTCCCTACCTCGCGCGGAGATTGCGTCATCTTAGGTGTCCGCAGTCTTGCCTGTATATAATTTCACAGCCGCTGTTGCCTTTTGCCCTCAAATTTCTCGGGGAGACCGGCAGGCTCACGCGTCTCCCCGGGGCGGGGGGACCGGAAGCGCTGTTGCCTGGGCAGCGTGCAGACGAGCCTGGACTCAGGCGACGCGCTGGACAGTCCCCGTGCGCCGGCTTCCCTGAGGTCCCCGGCCCTCGCGGCGGCGGCGGCGGCGGCGGCGGCGGCGGAGCGCTGAGGAAAATTGGGCCGGTCGGAAGAAGTCGAGCCCGAGGTGTTTCCGGTTCCGGTGTCAGTTCGAGGCGCCGCCGCCGCCGCCGCTGGAGCCGCGATGCCTAAAGGAGGTGAGGGGAGAACGCGCGTGGCCCGCGGGCCTGGAGGGGCTGCCCGAGTCCGGCACCCGCTGTTCATTCAGCCCGCGGGCGTCTCAGAGAATGGCGCGGAGGGAGGACGTCCGCGCCGGCTGAGGGCCAGGTGTGGGCCTCGACGCCCAATTATCCGAATGGAGAAACTGAGGACCGGAGTGGCCACGAGCCCCTCCTTCGTGGGTCTGGGGAGACCCTGAGGCTCCGGGTCCTCGCCGACACGGAAGGCCGGATCTAGGGCGCCTTCTCCTGGCCTGGGGGATCTGGAGTTTCCTCCCGCTTCTAGACTCGCCGGGGACTGAGTCACCGCGTCCCGCGCCTGTGCCGGGCCCTCTGCCTTGCGCGTAAAACGTGGGCCCTCTCGAGCTCTGGGCGAGCCGGGCCTGCCGGATGAGACCCAACTTGATGCTCTCGAGCCTGGCCGACCTGGCTTTGACCGCCCCTATTCGTCAGCGGCTCCATGTGTGCTTTTGAGCCAGTCGCTTCATCTCTCTGTGTTTGGGTTTTCTCATTTGCAAACCGGGCTTATGATTGTACCTTCCTCATAGTACAGGTGGGAGGCTTAAACTAGGTAATCCACGTGGAGTGCGCATCGCAGCGCCGGGCGGTCGTTAAGTGCCCATTAAGCATTATTTGTAGGGTTTTGTCAGTTTCTTGGCCAAGAAGATAGAGGATCCACGGTAGACCAGTCCTTCATTCTCTCTTCCCTAAGAGTCAGAAGTTCTTGAAGTCTAGCTGTGTCACTGTCCAACCCCGTGGCTTGGAAGAAATCACTTTATTCCAGCCTGTTTTTCTCATCTGGAGCACCTGGCTAATAACCCTTAGCTTGGAGAGCTGGAGATAGAGGTCATAAAAAAATAGAGCACTCAAAGTGCCCGGCTACCTCCTGGCACAGAACAGATGTTCGCTTAATAGTGGTGGCTCATGTGTCATGTTGGTTAAGATGCTTCAGCCCACAGGAAATCTACTTGGAGTTTTTTTCAAACCTAAATGACTTCCTGATTTTACTCGCAGAGATACTGGGGGTTACAGAGCCGAATCCATTTATACCTACCTCCCTACTGATTCCATCTGTGGTAGGAAGAGCCACGTCTCTTCCATTTTTCTCAGTCTTGTGTTCCGCAAAAGGAGGAGATTGAACCCTTTCTGTTCCAGAATTCTGGCTCTAAGGGTCCTATTTCATAGATACTTTGAGCCAAGGTTGGAGGTTAGAATTAGAAAATCCTAAATATCTTGGTTAAGTGACTTGATCTTTGGCTTGTGAAAAGCTTCACTGGCAGATACGATTTGCGTTTCTTGCTTGTGTTGATTTGCTTGAAAAGCAAAAGAAAAGTTTTTTTTTTTTTATTTTAAAGTATAAAGTTCCCTGAGAGAAAAGGATGCCCTCTTTGTTTCCATTGTGTAAACGTGAAACACTTGTAAAGGCAGGAGCAGCTTTTGATAAAAGTTATGGTAGGCCAAACTAAGGTCAGTCTCCCTTAGCCGGGTGTGCTGGATGAGAGCCTATAGTAGCCAGTTTTGAGTTTTGACTACTGCCTGGAATATTAAGAGGGCAAGAAAGGGTGTCTTTTTTTTTTTTTTTTTTTTTTTTAACGGCTGGCTTGATCTCTCAAAATAGGACTTTCATGAGCATAGACTGAGACCCCTGGGAACCCAGGTAGTCATTAAAAATGGGCGGTGTGGTCTGTAGCAGCCCAATTACGGCTCTGCAGCTGCTGTCTAGGAAATAAGAGGAGGTTGGTATCTCTGCTACTGTCTCTGGAGTCCAGAGAAGCTCTGGCTGTCTAATTACAGATTCTCTGCACTCAGACACTCGCTGGAAGTCAGCTGGGCCGAAGCTTCCAGAAGAGGTGGGGATGGATTGAGGCCACAACCCCAGCATCCTCCAGGACCAGCAGAGCAGGTGCTATCCTGCTATAAAACTGGCTGATGGGTTCAGCAGGGGTCAGTCTCTTGTCTTCGCTCAAGAGGGTCAGACTGTAAAACTGATACTCTTAGATGAGCTTTAATTTACAGTCACATTTTTAACTGTTAGAAGGTAGTCGGCTTCATTCTTAACTGTTAACTTTGCCGGCTCTGCCGCTTACTCCAAGTGGAAGAAAGTTTTCAGTAGGTTTTAGGTTTTTTTTTTTTTCTACCATACCACTTAGGTGAATGTGAAGTATTTTATTATATTCTCTGACATTTATAGTGAATCACTGATGTGGTTAGTGGCTTTTTTGCCTCCTGCCAAAATACTCTATTAGAAAAGTAACAAATGTAGCGTATGTTTCCATAGTGCTTATTCAATGCCAGGCACAGTTCCAAGAGCTTTACACATGTTAACAAATTGGTTCGCCTGAAAGCTCTACAAGATAAGGACACAGATGGAGAAACGGAGACTCAGAGGTTAAGTACCTGCCGAAAGCTAGCAAGTGGTAGAGCTGAGATTTGAATCTTAAGTGTCTTTTGTGTGCAGAGCAGGACCAGCTGTGACTCCTCATAGGTTTATTCTGAGGATCAGATGAGTGCATGGCTGTGACAGAACATTTAAAAACCACTGTAGTCACAGCAGGATGTGAGTGTTACATGTTCTGACTGCATTTCGGTGCCCTGTGTTTGGTTTCTGAGGGACCATGGGATTCGACCAGTTATTGTGTGCGGTGTGCCCTCCCCCATATCCTCCCCTTGGGTCTCATTTGTAGGAAGCTACGTGCAGCACACAGTTTGGGGCTGCCTCAGGTGGTCACATGTTGCCCCTTTGGTCCCTTTGAACATGTGAAGGTAGGAGAGTTTAGGTTTGGGTGGTGCTGGGTGAGGTCTCTGCACCCTCTGACGAGAGCACCTCAAGCAGGACACAGCCCCCTGGGACTCAGGGCAGTCAAGGAAGCCGATTCCCTCCCATCTTCCTAAACTGCCAATCTTTGTGCAGGGAGAAAGGGAGGCCACAAAGGCCGGGCAAGGCAGTACACAAGCCCTGAGGAGATCGACGCACAGCTCCAGGCTGAGAAGCAGAAGGCCAGGGTGAGTACATGCCTGTCCAGGCCACTGGAGTGGCTCAGGGTGGTTACCTGCGAGAGGCCAGGCAAAGACCACCTATTCCTAGGAAGAAGCCAGCACCTGAGGTTCGGGGTGGGGGTGGGGCATGGACAGCAGGCAGGTGTCCCAGAACAACCGACAGTGAAGAGGAGAGCCATCTTCTGATTGAATCAATTAGAACTTTGGTCTTTTAGCAGTGATTGCCTTAGTGGGTCTCTGTTCTTGGTCCTGTGTTCCTCTTTTCTGGGAGCTGTCCTTCCGCCAGGCTCAGCCCATCCGCGACCCAGGAGTCCCCATTTGTTTGCTATAGCCATGCCAGACCTCTTGCCAGACCCAGCATGACATGATGCCCTGCCTTCCCACACCCCCAGCAGGCAAAGTACTGTTCGTTTTTCCAGGCCTTGCTGAACGTCATCTTCTCTGTGACTCTCACTGACGCTGTTCACCCGCCTCTAGTCTGAGCTTAGTAGTTCACTCTACTCTGTTCCTGCAGTGTTTTTTCCAGCCTGTTGTCAGGAAATAGAATGTTTCCATCATCGTTGGTGTCCACATCCCTGACTACACCATTAGATCTGCCCCTGGATAAGGGCCGAAAAGAGCATAAGTCAGGCCCAATGAGTGACAGCTGTGAAGTGCCTGGGAGCCCCTAGAAGGGAGAGGCCACGTGTTCTGGGAGAGAGGGGAGGAGGGCTTGAGGGAGGGGCTGGCAGCTAAGCAGGACCTTGGAGAATGTGTGGGCAAGTGCTAAGGGGGAAGGACCTACTGTTTTCATTAGGAATAGTTTTGGTGGGGAAGCAAGAAAAGTGGAAGGAAGCGGCATGTTGGGTGTTGTCTTAGGAAGCCAATGTGGCAAGGCCTCTGCATGGGCAGGTTGGAGTGGCTGGCCTGCCATTGACTGTGGGAGTGGAAAGCAGAGGAGGACTGGCCCAGGATTTGGCAGCTGCGTGTGGCAGCTGGGGAAGCAGGAGGGGAGCTGCACGGGACTGTGGTTTCCAGCCCCACAGCTGAGTTTTTCTGACCCTGGGAGATGAACTTCTCACCCAGGATGGACTGTGGGAATGGCTTTCAGGCTGTGGAGCCGAGTAGATAGGCTGCCTCTGACCCAGGTCCCCTACTAGGAGCCAGGGTCTCAGAGTAGGACCCTTGTCCTCCTTGGTCCCAGCCTTCTGGGGCTTAATTTCTCTGGGTCCACAGTCTGGAGGTGATGGGAGCAGGGGTCACTGTCTAGGGGGTTTGTGCATTTTTGATTTTGCAGGTTGTCCATTTCTGAAACAGGAAGAAGAGGAACAAGGAGAAGAAGGTGGAGATGGGGCTGCAGGTGACCCCAAAAAGGAGAAGAAATCCTTAGACTCAGATGAGAGTGAAGATGAAGAAGACGATTACCAGGTACTGCGTTCAGTAGAGGCCTGGGACTTGGACTCATTCAGTCGGCAAACGTTGATCGAGTGCCTGTTGATTACCATTTCCAATGGTAGATGCAGACAGAGTCCTTGCTCAGAAGGGTTATGTTCTAATACGGAGTTACAGACAAAAAGGAAGTAAACGGACAGCATAATTTTAAGTAGTGGCAGGTATCATGAACAAGACGGACTGTGATCGTGGGTATGTGAAGTAGTGTTTGGTGAGGATGTGGCTTTCAAACA